GATCAAAGGGACCCCATGTCCTCTCTATCTTCTGAGGGCACTGCACTCACACAGCAACCCCTCTCCCACACAAATCTTTTAAAACTTATAAAAGGCAGAGCTCTGGATTCCCAGAAATTAGACAACATCCAAAGTTCACCCAATAGACTCTCAGCCTCTTCTTCTAGTGTCTGCTATAAGAAGTTACTCAAGGCTTCAAAACAGGTCTGCACTCCCAGGGAACAGCTGTTAGCACTTGCTGCCAAGCCAGAAAGAGACCACAGCCACAAGATGTCCTCTGACCTCTACTTGCGTGTTAAGGCACATGTACTCACATGCAAACATAAACATACAAGAATGTGCAAATAAAAAAAATTTTAAAGACATCTCCTAGGACTGGGGTATAGCCTGGTGTAGAGCAAACTTCCCCAGCACATACAAGACCCTGGGTTAAACTGAAAATTGAAAAAAAAAAAAAAAAAAAAAAAAAGAAAAAAAAAAGGCAGAGCTCTGGACTTGCAAATTCAGAATTCCTAAACAGTGGACACCCAAATTTCAAAGCTTCCCCCCCAACCCCTCCACCCCCAGAAAGGATTTCTCTGTATAGCCCTGGCTGACTTGGAACTCACCAGGCTGGCCTTGAACTCACAAGAGATCTGCCTGCTTCTGCCTCCCGAGTGTTGGGATTAAAGGTGTGTGCTTGACCGCATATTCTTGTTTTATGGTGTCAAAGACAAAACCGGGGGTCTGTGTACAAGCAGGCAAATGCTCTAATACTAAGCTACATCCTTAGTCCCTCCCCTGCTTTTGCATTTGTTTGATAAAGAATCTCACTTTGTATCCCTGAATAGAGTGGAACTAGCCAGACCAGGTTGGCCATGAGCTGCCTTCTCCTACCTCCTGAATGCTGAGTTTAAAGGCATGTGCCACCACACCTGGCCAAGGGCAAATACAATTTCTGAGAAACATAATGGAAGTGTGTGGCTAAGATATTGGACCTAAGGGTTCAGAGAGTTCTGTACTTAGCTTCTAGATCCTCCCTAAACAGTATGTTGGTGCATACCCACAGTTCTAGTATTTTTTTTTAAGATTTTATTTATTAGGTATACAACATTTTGCTTCCATGTATATCTGCACACCAGAAGAGGGCACCAGATCTCATAATGGATGGTTGTGAGCCACTATGTGGTTGCCGGGAATTGAACTCAGGACCTCTGGAAGAGCAGTCAGTGCTCTCAACCTCTGAGCCACCTCTCCAGCCCCCAGTTCTAGTATTTTAGAGGCAAAGGCAGAAAGATAAGTTCCAAGACAGCCTGGGATACCCATGAACCTCAAAAGATACCTCCCCTGACATGTTTCCCTATGTAGCCAAGTCTGGACATAAGATTAGAAAGCCTTAGGCTTTCCTGGGTGTTGGGATTATAGGTGTGAGCCATCATTTCTTCAAGAGAAGCTGATCTGCCCTTGGGATCCAGTACTCACAGATACTTAGCCAGTTCTGGAGTTAGACAGCTAGGCTACTTGAGTTTGGGAGTGGGGCATTCTACTGAACCTTACTCCATTGTTTGGGACAGTAAGAAGCTGCAGGTGAGATGCACAGATCCCACAAAGCTGGAGTTGTGCAAATGGTTGGTTACTGCACTTGCCAGCCCTTGTCTGATGAAACCTTTGGCTTGTAACTAATTTGGATTTGTGATTATCACCTCTCACTTCCTCTGTCCCTGTCTACATGCTACACAGCTAGCTATTAAGCACATCTCTGAGTAGATACTGCCCCCAAGAGGCTGGTGCCTGCCAATAACACATGGCAGAGCCATTTTCACACTGGACCAGACCTGGAGATGATTTTATCCCCCCAGACTGCCCCCAAGGGGCTGGTGCCTGCCAATAACACATGGCAGAGCCATTTTCACACTGGACCAGACCTGGAGATGATTTTATCCCCCCAGGGCCCTTCTTGGGTGCTTATGACTGATGCAAATGCAGAGCTGGTTAGGGTGGGCTTAGGTGAGCCTCTCATCTCATATCCAGTGGACCAGACTGCCCATCACAATCCCTCGTCACTTTTTATCCAAACTGAGCTTTTGTACATGCTGTTTCCAGACCTCAGACCCTTCCACATCCTTGTCTGCCTGGCCCATTATGATGTGTAGTGAGAGAATGGCTGGGAAAGTCCAGAAATGAGAATGGTTGCTGCCTGGGACAGTGACATGTGATCTTATGGTGAACCTGGAAAGGTAGCAAGACACAGTGGTATGTCTAATGTCAGGAATAGGACCAGAGCACAAGCATGGGTCACGAGCAGTGTGGCTGCCCACCAAGTCCTCCAAGCTCCTTTCAGAAGTTTAGGTTTTCAGGGACAAGATAGCTGTTCATCCCTTTTGAACACCATGGGTTCATCTCCATCCCCAACCCCCCTCAGTTTGGGCCATGTGACTGCTGACGATGGTCTGTCATTCAAAGTTGTGTCTTTTGTATCTTGTCCATCTCTATTTTCCTTCACTGTGGTGACTATGCTGCCTACATGTCCCAAAGAGACCTTTCAGACACACTCAGAGTTGGCGTGATAACAGGTTTTGAGACTGGATCTTACTATGTAGCTCTGCCAGGCCTGGAACTCAGAGATCCATCCTGCCTCTGCCTCAAGGTGCTATGATTAAAGGTGTATGTCACCACCTTTGTGTGGGACAATGGGCTTGTTTCAAGTGTGCTGGGATCCTCTTGATTGCAAAGCAAGTATTCTGATCATAATGATTGCACAGCAAGCAATCTTAAGCATGTAAACCAACTCTTCATCCAGGATTAGGTGGTTGTGAGCTGCTGGATAGTGCTAAGGACCAGTTTGAGATAGGGGTTTGATTCCAGCCCTGCCTGTCCTGGAACTCACTCTGTAAACCAGGCTGGCCTGCCTCAGTCTCCCGAGTGCTGGGATTAAAGCTACCTGCTAACACTAACAACTCAGGTTTTTCTTAACAGGTGAACCAGTTTTCCAGACTTTCTTGTCTTTTTGAGACAGGGTCTTAAACTGTAGCCTATGTGGCCCAGGCTGGCTTGGAATTCATAGTACTATCCTTTCACAACCTTTTCACAAGTGCTAAGATTACAGGCATGAACAGCTGGATCTATAATCATACTTTTACCATGTTTAGCTATGGTGGTATGTGGGGTTTTGCTCAGGCAGGCAGTGAATACCCCAGTGCAGATACTATATTTTTCCATTGATGCGGTCAAGCCAGGTGCCCACAGGGCTGAAACTCAAGCCTCCTCCCTTATCTCACTGAGCTGTTTAAATGTAAATAGCCCTTAGAAGCTCAAGGAAAGTGTCACTATTAAGTGTGGCTTTGTTGGGGTAGGTGTGACCTTGCTGGAAGTGTGTCACTGTGGGGGCAGGCTTTGAGATCTTCAATGCTCAAGCTACACCCAGTGAGACAGACTACTTCCTATTGCCTTTGGGTCAGCTCCAGCACTATGTCCGCTTGTGAGCTGCTATGTCCCAAAATGATAATGGACTAAATCTCTGAAACTGAAAGTTACCCAATTATATGTTTTCATTTGTAAGAGTTGCCACGGTCATGGTGTCTCTTCACAGCAACAAAAACCCTAAGACCGCTAAGGTTTTTCTATATGGCCTTGGGTTCCATCTGCATGCCCTCTGCCTCTGCCTCCACAGTGCTGGGATTAAAGATGTGCAATTAAGGCTGGGTTTTAGAGACTATACTTCCTTAACTGCAGTTTCAGTTGTCCCCAGGCTCTGACATTCCCCTCAGGCCTTGTGAGAAGGAGTATCCAGCAGGGATGGGCAGTTGAAGAAGTCAGAACTTGTGGCAAGTCTGAAGTGCAAGCCCTGTTTTTGATCAGTTAGCAGAAGCACTGGCCTAGCTGCTCTAGAGGCTGGAAGAGGGTATTGGGTCCACTGGGACTGAAGCTGAGAGCCACCATTTGAGTGCTGGGAATGAATACAGGTATTCTAAACAGCAGGAGCATTGTCTACATGCAAGGACAGCAGTATTTCACCCTCATTTGCCAGTTACACATGGGGACTGGAATTCTCATTCTGAACATTAACTTGCAAGGGAGAGATCCTTCTGTGAAAATTGAACAAACATATTAACTTTTTTCCCCTTTAGAATTGAGGCATAAGTCAGGAGGTGGTGGTGGCATGCACCACACAGCCAGGGGTACACAGAAAAACCTTGTCTTGAAAAAAGCAAGCCAGGCAGTGGTGGCGCACGCCTTTAATCCCAGCACTCAGGAGGAGAGGCAGGCAGGTGGATCCCTGTGAGTTTGAGATCAAACTGGTCTACAAGGGCAAGTTCTAGGACAGACTCCAAAGCCACAGAGAAACCCTGTCTGGAAAAAAAACAAAAAAAAAGCAAACAAACGAAAAAGAATTATTGAGTCAATATGAAAGTACATATGTGCACAATGTGGGAGGCATGTGTGAATAAGAGGTGAGAAAACAGCTTTGTGAAATATTCTCTCCTTCTACCTTATGAGGGTTCCAAGAATCAAATACAGCCCATCATTAGCCAGCTCTCCAGCCTCATGAATTTTATACATACCCATGACGGTCAAAATTTATAACTTAACAATGTTGTCATTTCTCTGTTTGTTTTGAAACAGGGTCTCACTAAGTAGCTCTGGCTATCTTGGAACTTGCTCAGTAGATCAGACTGACCTCAAACTCAAGAGATCTGTCTGCCTCTGCCTCCTGAGTGCTGGGATTAAAGTGTGTGCCACTACACCTGGATAAATAGATGCCGTCATTTCTCACTTCTAACTCTAACCTATTCCTTCTCAACCCAGAAAAGTAGCATCACCAAGCACAATCTTGGGCTCAAATCCCTGCCACACTTGCTATTGTGTGACCCTGGGCAAGTCACCTGCCTCTTTGAGGTCAATAAGACAGCAATAAAAATACTCATGGGTGCAGAGGAAACAGCTATGAGATTCAGCAAGAGTGAGCTGCCGTGATCCATGGCAGAAAGACTGGGGCTAGTAGAGGAAAGGGACCAGAACCATATAGAGACTGCTCATGTTTATTAACAAAAGGGACAACCCCACATATCCATTCACAAGTACATTTAGGAACCTTAGAACCAACAATGCCCTCCCCTCCCAACACCCCCCTATCTAGGACCCACCCTAAACTTAGTTTGGGCCCTTTAAAAAAAAATTTGGGCTTCTAGCATTTTTTTTCTGGAAACTATACGAATGTACTGTCTGGGCTCTCTGCTTTTCATGTTCCCCATCCACTTGTCCCTGTGGGCCGTAGATAAAAATCTGCCAGACTCTCTGCTCAGTCACTCAGGTCTAGACCAAAATCTGGATATAACTCCTTGGTGGTGACACCTCGGGTCAGAGCTGAAAGAAAGGAAGGAAGAATTACTATCCAGTGGAGAAGGTCAAAACCCAAACTAAGGCAGCTGTCCTACCATCCAGAACACTCTGGGGCCCAGATTCACACCTTACCCAAATGGCAAAGGTAATCTCTCTGCTTCTCCTTCTAAACCTTGCCCCTGGGGGCTTGGCCTGGCCACCCAACACCAACCAAGAGTTTCAGCATGGCCTGCAGCCAGCCTTTCAGGTAGCAGTTGTGTGACCCAGCTCCTCCTGCTGCTCCTTCTTCAGACCTCAGTATTCCATGTCCACTGTTTTCTTCATAGAACTTAACACACTAGCATTTCTGTTCATCTACTGACTGGCCACTCTGCACACTCTAAACACTAAAACCCAAGGCCATTCCAGCATCTTAGAGTACCTGGTACACAGTAGATGCTCAGTAAACATTCACTGAAAAGACAGGAAAGTCAGGACACTGGCTCCAGGTTATATGACATAGAGGCGATAGGTCTCCCTCTGAGTTCTAAAAAGAACACTTTTATTGTTGCTGTTGTTTTGACAAGGTCTCACTATGGAATCCAGGCTGGTCTTGAACTTGTGACCTGCCTGCCTCAGCCTCCAGAGTACTGGGATTTCAGGCATGCACCGCCACACTTGGCTATACCCTTTTTTAAAGCTCTGATCACTGTCCTTTTGGACACCTTCATTTCCCTATTTTCTTCTCCCTCCAGAGGGCTCATTCGATGGCATTTTTCTTACTTCATAGCTGCAGTATTTTGACCTTCTTAGCTCTTTTTCTTAAAAATAATTTTTAACTTTATTTTGTGGATTGGTGTGAAGGTATCAGATCCCCTGGAATTGGAGCTACAAACAGCTGTGAGCTGCCATGTAGGTGCTGGGAATTGAACTCAGGACCTCTGGAAGAGCAGCCAGTGCTCTTAACTGCTGAGCCATCTCTCCAGCCCCTAGAGGACCCATTCTTAATGATACATGATTCCTCACCACTGGCTGCAGAATATCATCAGGGCGCACCACTCCGGGCCAGGGGAAAGGGTTATTGAGCATAGATAAGGCTATTTACACAGTATCTTATCCCGAACCAGCTTGACTTCTATGGCAGGCTGCTCGTAAGCCCAAACACACAGGTATCTGCCTTGGTTCAAGACTCTGGATGACAAGATTTAGTTAGAAGAGGAATTAAATCCTACTGTATATCATAGGAGCTGCCCTGGTCCTTGCTCCTCTTAAACAAGTCAGTCATCAGAGGTATCCATGGTATCTCAATATCTCAGCAGGCCATGGAAGATTAGGGACCTTATTTCAGTCTCAAAGGTAGGTAAGTCATGTTTGTGAGGATTCAGGCATTATGCTGGCCTGCCCCTGTCACCTGGCATTAAGCACTCAGGCAGTACCCTAGTCAGCCCAGGTACAAAGGGCCCCTTTAACAGAAAGACCTCCACCCACTTACACTCTTTTTCTCTCTCTTTCCTGCTGTTCCCCCAGGGCAGATAGGACTTTTCCTGTCTCCCTCTTCTCTTCTGTCCTCTGTCTCTGTGTTTATCTCTTTTCTCTTCCCTTCCCCCTCTCTTCCCTTTTTAATAAAACTTCCCACTTAAGCTCTGTCTGCCTGGCACATTTGTCCCTCCACCTCGGTCACTCACACCTGCCATGGAGTCCGCCAAGGTTCCCCTTGAGCTTTATCGTAACACTGTTCAAACTTGCTCCTAAGTCGGCCCTGTGCTTGAGATTCTGAGCACTAAAGCAAGAGCTGCAAACCTGGGTACCCAGGGGGAGCAGTGGCTGGTGAGAAGAGGGGCTGCAGTATTCCAGGAGCAGAGTAGCTGACAAGAGTGGGATGGTTGGCAAATTAGGGGACCAAGGAGTGGAATCCAACACCCCTGGGAGGGGAGGAGCCACCTTCCCATCCCTTTCAACTCACCCAGCTTTCCCAGCAGCATCTGTGCCACATCCTTGATGTCATTGTACTCATGGAGGAGAGCGATATGGTCCTCCAGCTCACCCACACGGTAGCCTCTGGGAAGAGCAATGGAGAACGAGCACCATTAGGAGAGCTGATGAGATCCCTTGATGAGGTGGTACTGAGGCATCTGTTCAGCATCTATTTAACAAATATTCACCACAGTTCTACTAGGTGCTAGGCCTTGGAGACAGTGATGACAGGATGGGCCCCGTTTTCATGTAGCTTTTTTTTTTTTTTTTTGGTTTTTCGAGACAGGGTTTTCTGTGGCTTTGGAGCCTATCCTGGAACTTGTTCTGGAGACCAAGCTGGCCTCGAACTCAGAGATCCACCTGCCTTTGCCTCCCAAGTACTAGGATTAAAGGTGTGCGCCACCAATGCTGGGCAAAATTTATTATATATACAGTACTCTGTCTGCACGTATGATTGCAGGCCAGAAGAGGGTACCAGATGTCACTACAGATGGTTGTGAGTCACCATGTGGTTGCTGGGGATTGAACTTAGAACCTCTGAACTCAGCCTGTGCTCCTAACCGCTGAGCTATCTCTCCAGCCCTGTTTTCATGTAGCTTATAATGGCAAGGGATCTACTTATCCCCTCATTCCTAGCAAACTTGTCTTGTCACTTAAAGGAGGGGTTTCCAGACACATGGTTACTGTGTGACCCTGGCCATAGGTAAGCACATAAAAGGTCACCAGGCAGATTCCCTCATGTGAAATATACATCCCAGTGCACCTCAGCCTCTGCTCTGAGGCTGGAGTAAGAAGCATGAGGAAGTCCAGGACTTGTGGAGAAGTCAGCTTCTCCTAGGTGCTTTAACTCCATGAAAGGACCCATGGCAGTCACAGTGCCTAGAATAGAGCACCACAGGGAGAGACCAGAATAACACCATTTCTATTTCCACCAGCTCTCTAGACCCTGGCTCTAGGCTTGTCCTAACCTGATTTCCCAGATCAGCTGCAAAGATACTCAGAGTCGCACAGCAGAATCTTTTCTATGCCACACTAGTATACTGGGTTTGTTACTAAGCACTAATTAAAAGTGAAGAATGTCAGCTGGGCAGTGGTGGCACATGCCTTTAATCCTAGCACTCGGGAGGCAGAGGCAGGCGGATCTCTGTGAGTTCCAGACCAGCCTGGTCTACAAGAGCTAGTTCCAGGACAGCCTACACAATTCCCAGCAACCACATGGTGGCTCACAACCCTCTGTATTGAGATCTGGTGCCCTCTTCTGGCCTGCAGGGATACATGCAGGCAGAACACTGCATAAATAAAAAGGAAAAAAAAGAAAAAAAAGAAAAAAAAGAAAAAAAAGAAAAAAAAGAAAAAAAAGAAAAAAAAGAAAAAAAAAAAAAAAGAATGTCTGTGTGTGACTAGGGATCAAACCCAGGAACAGGTGAGTTAGCACTGTGCCATAGAGCTCCATCCCTTGCTTTTGTTTTCTTGCAATAGGGATGGAACCCAGGGCTTCATGTACATGAGGTAAGCACTCCTAACCAAGCTGGGGAGGCAACAAGACTTGTTCAGAAAACCAGATGTGGTTGCCCACACCTATAATCACACACTAAGAGGAGACAGGAAATCAGTTCAATGTATATAGCTATATGTGTATATATATATGTATAAAGCTATAGTATTAGCTATATAGCAAGTTTAAGGCCAGCCTGGGGTACAACAGGGGCTCAGAAAACAAAGTAACAAAGGCAAGACTTACTCTTTTACTAACTGGGAAATCTCCTTGTCCAGCATGTCCCGTTTCTCCTTCAGTTTCTGAATGTCAGAGTTCAAAGTTTCCTCACTGATCTCATCATCCTCTTCCAACTTGGGAGATGAACACTGAGTGGCAGAAAAAAATATCATCAGCTGGACTGATCAGTCATTCACAGATCACAGCCTATCTCGATAGCTAGCTAGTCCCTATTTCTGATTGTTAATAGGCTCTGATCCTAAAATGCCACTTATTTCTTAGCTTTCATTGGAATTAGGTGTGGCCAGAGTCTGTTATGACAAGTAGAAATGTCATCAGAAGTGACATATGCAATGTCTGAGGAATGTCCTTCCAGGGAGAGAACATGCCCAACCCTGGCCTTTCTCTGCCTGGAATGTTGACACAATGCTGGAGTAGATCTTGGATGAAGCAGAAGCTGCTTCATGGAGGCTGAAGCAAGATGGAGGATGGAGTCCATGATGTTGGTTGTTTAGCGTTTTCTCAATTAAATCCAATCCTGAGTAACTGGCCACCTTGGCCTGCAGTCTGAGCCCAGGTCTGTAATGTCACTGGATTCATAATCTCATTGGACGACAAGATCTTTTGCGAAGGTACACTCCATCTTTGCTCTTTCTGCCTGAGCTTGTAAAGGCAGCGGTTCTCAACCTGTGGGTCATGACCCCACAAGAGGCATATATCACATACCCTGCCTATCAGATATTATATTATGATTCATAACTGTAGCAAAAAAATGTAATGTTATTGGTTGGGATCACCACACATTAGGAAGGTTGAGAACCACTGCTGTAAAGGCTGGCACCTAGTGCTTAGCTATCTTCAGGAAGTGTATGTTGGATGAACTGCCTAGTAAGAAAACAGAGAAAGCTGTGGTTCCTGTTCTTAGGTCTCTGGCTTGTGATCAGTCACTCTGCAATTATGAATGAACACTGTCTGCCAGGTGGGGGGAGCCACAGGCAAAGACATCCATCCAGGCCCCTTTATTCAGAGCACATAGAAGCCAAAAGGTACCAAAGAGTAGGACCTGCAAGGTGACTCAGCTGGCTAGATTATCTGCCTTATAATCCTGACAATCTCGAGTTTGATTCCCAGAACCCTGGTAGAACCAACTCCTCAAAATTGTCCTCTGACATCAGACACAGACACACTACATTAAAAATATTTCAAAAGGGCCACTGAGATGGCTCAGTAGGTAAAGATGTTGCTGTCAAACCTAACAAACATGAGTCATACCCCTGGAGCCCACATGGTGGAATAAGAGAAATAACACCAAGTTGTCCTCTGACTTCCATGTGTATACCATAGTGCAGTGGGCCCGTTAATATAGTTTTTCATGTTGGGACATCCCCCCAACCATAAAATTATTTCATAACTGTAATTCTACTACCGTTATGAACCATATGTAAGTATCTGATGATATGTGATCCTGTGAAAAGGTCTTTCAAACCCCAAAGGGACTGCAACCCACAGGTTGAGAACCACTGTCATAGTGCCTTCTCTCCAAATAAAAGAAGTAAATGTAATTTATTTTCTTTTCTATTTTACAAAAAAGGGGGAGGGGGGCAAGGTCTCACTCACTATGTAGCTCTGCCTGGCCAAAACTCAGTACTTAGACCAGGCTGGCCTCCAATTCAAAGATACATCTGCCTCCTGCCTGCAGAGTGCTTGGATTGAAGAAATATGCCACCATGCATAGCAGAAACAAATGTAATTTTATAATTCTTATTTTTTCTAAATTATTTATTTTATGTACATTGGTGTTTTGCCTATATGAATGAATGTCTTTATGAGGGTATTGGATCCCCTGGAACAGAAGTCATGGACAGTTGTGAGCTGCATGTGGGTGCTGGGAATTGAACCCAGGTCCTCTGGAAGAGCAGTCAGTGCTCTTCTTGTGGAGCCATCTCTCCAGCCCCTTATAATTCTTATAATGAAATGGTGGATAAGAACACTTGCTGCACCAGGTGTTGGTGGGGCACACCTTTAATCCCAGCACTCGGGAGGCAGAGGCAGGCGGATCTCTGTGAGTTCAAGGCCAGCCTGGTCTACAAGAGCTAGTTCCAGGACGGCCTCCAAAGCAATACAGAGAAACCCTGTCTTGAAAAACCAAAAGACAAAAAAAAAAAAAAAAAAAGCACTTGCTACTCTTGCAGAGGATTGGGGGGTTTGGTTCCTACTACCCACAAAGTTCACAACTGCCCTAACTCCAGTGCCAGGGGTCAGACCTTCAGACCTCTAGGCACCAAGCATGCACATTGTACACATGTACACACAAACGTAAGCAAAATACTCATGAACATAAAATTTAAAAACTTTTTATATTACTAAAAAAAATTTTTTTTTCTTTTTTTTGAGACAGGATTTCTGTGTAGCCCTAGCTGTCCTGGAACTAGTATTGTAGACCAGGCTGGCCTATAACTAACTCACTGAGTGCTAGGATTAAATGCATGTTCTACCACCTGGCTTGGGGGGGGGGGGTTTCAAGACACCGATTGTGGGTATTGGAAAATGAACTCTGGTCCTCTGCAAGAGCAGTGCACACTCTTAACCAATGAGCTATCTATTTTTCCATGTCCAGTTTCTTCTCCACTTGCTCTCTACCTCATTTTCTGAGACAGGGTCTCTCTGAACCTGGAGCAACTCACTGATTGGGTGTGACAGCTGGCCATCAAGTTCTAGGGTGGTGGCTGTCTCTGCCTCAATGCTGGGATTACATTATGTTGTGTGTCTACCTCCAGTTTTCATATGTATGGTGCCTTTCATGGCAAGCACTTTACACACAGAGCTATCTTTCCCATCTCTGCTGATGTTTTACTTCATTCTCATCACCTGACATGTACATTTCATTATTATGTTCATACCACTGTTACCTTGGTCAATTCGAAGGAGACAAGGACTTTGTGTGTTTGTCCAATGCTGGCAACACAATGCCTACGACAGTAGTTGGGCACACAGTAGATAATACTCATCATTAGTTGTTGGAAAAATCCAACTAATCAACTAATTATAGGTCTAAAAAAAAAAAACTCTTTGAAGAACAATGTGCTAAGGAAGCATCTGGAATTAGTGGAGCCAGAAGTAGGGAGTCAAGCTTGTGGAAGAAGCCGAACTTCAAAGGATAAGTGGGTGTTAGCTTGGCCAATAGCTCTAATAAAGTGTTAGCCTGGGGAGTTTTCCCCAGTACTACCACTCAAGTAAAGCTGAATCCTCCTTTTGTCAAAAAGAAGATCAGGACAAGTCCATATGAGGGGCAAGTTGGGGTTTATAAAAATACATTCTGAGGCTAGGCGATAGTGCTCAAGCCTTTAATTCCACACTCGGGAGGCAGAGTCAAGTGGATCTCTGTGAGTTCAAGGCCAGTCTGGTCCACAGAGTGAGTGCGGGATAGGCTCCAAAGCTACAGAGAAACCAGAAAAACAAAAAACAAAACCCAAACCGAACAGGAGTTAAAGGCATCCCAAGAAAGAATGAGACAAATTCAAATGAGGGTGTAGGCTTCCAAAGGAGACTTGAATTTGTAGTTTTTTCTTATTTTTTTTTTTAGGTAGCATCTTACTATGTAGCCCTGGCTATCTTGAATCTCACTATGTAGACCAGGCTGGTTTCAAACTGCCTCAGCCTCCCAAGAGCACCTGGTATTAAAAGCAAGTGCCACCACTCTGAAATTACTCAAAGGCTTGCTAAGGCATTTTAAAGTGATCACAAGTTTTCTCATGATTAGTGATACCTGCCTGACAGGTTTATAGTGGATAATTAGACCCTTAGATCACAAGGATGCAGAAAAGGAGGCTATCATCTTTACTGTAAACAAAGTAATAGTCTTAGGAGACTCCTAGGAAACCTCTAGGTGAGCAGTGAGCCCCATCCAAGGCCTGGCCTTAAGTCTGGCTTATTGGTACCTTATCATTTCTATTAAAAAATATTTTTCCTAGAAGAAATATTGGGGGCCAGGGAAATGGTTTAGCTGGTAAACATGCTTGCTGACAAGTCTGATGACCTGAGTTGGAGCTCTGTACTCAGAGTGAACCAACTCTCAAAAGTTGTTCTTTTTGACCTCCATGTGTACTCTGAGACATTCAACAAATACTAAACACATTTTAAAATGTAATTTTAAATTATTAAAAAAAAAAAAGCTGTTGGGGGTTAGTGGCACCTTTAATCCCAGCATTTGGGAGATAGAGGCAGATGGATCTCTGTGAGTTTGAGACCAGCCTGGTGTACAAGGACTAGTTCCAACACAGTCTCCAAAGTCACAGAGAAACCCTGTCTCAAAAAAAAAAAAAAAAAAAAAAGCCAGGTGTGGTGGCATAGGCCTTTAATCTCAGTACTGGGAGGCTGGGGCACGTAGATATCTGAGTTCAAGTCCAGCCTGATTTGCAGCCAGAGGTACATAAAGACCCTTTCTCAAAAAAAAAAAAAAAAAGAAAAAGAAAAAAAAAGAAAAGCAGGAGGTTGAAGAGTATTTAGCCAGCTTGGGCTACATAATGAGACTCTGCAAAGCATCCTTGAATACAGAGAGGGTTTGGGACCTGCTTGGGACACATAAAACTGTGAAGAACTAGCCTGCCTCCCTCTTAGGCTTAAAAGCCATCTTATAGTAAAGACAAACTAGATTCCTTCCTATTTTTCAAGGATTGGGCTGTGCCCCACCTATAACCTTAACTATGAATTATTCTGTACTGCTTGTTCCAGGAGTGGCAATCATGTCTTTGTTTCAAAAAGTTGTTTATAACCATCTTGCAACCCTACCTTCATTTCAAAAGGGTATATGACTTATGACCACCTAAAAGACTATCTGTTATGACTACCTATTGTTAAGCCTTGTTACGCCCACCTTGCAATCATGTCTTTGTTTTAGGAGGTCGTTAGAACTAATTTGTTGTGCTTAAGCTCTGCTCCTCTAACACTAGCAATTTTGCCCCCAAATCGCCCTTTTGGAAACTCCCTACCCGAGTTTGTCTTCCTCACATCTGAGGCTGATCTCTGTAACCCCGATTTAGGGGGAGGCAGCCCGTGTACACAAATAAAAAAGCTTGCTTTAATTAATTGTTTGCTTTAATTAATTTGGCCATGATGATTTGGGTCGGTGGTCTTTCTCCTTCCATCTTTGGGATTAACAACTGTCCCCCAAAAAAAAAAAAAAGGCATAAAGAACAAAGGAACTACTAAAAAGGAGTGACTTGAAGAGTACTCGAAAAATTCATCTTTGGGGATGAGAAATGAAGGACGTTGAGTTTTGGGTGGGGAGGGTGGGGCAGAGAAAAGGATAGTACTACTGGTAGTTTAGGAAGTGGCCAGCATAGAGAGAGAGATTCCTCGACTGGGAATCTGTATGCAGGCCTGAAGGCAGGGCTGGGTCAGGGAAACAAAGCTTCGAGCAGGAGGCGGCTGGAGAAGCACAGGCACTGACCAGGTAGGAATGGAAGGGCAGGACCCCATTTCTGGGGAAGGAAAAGGAAGGGGTGGGATTAGAAAGGACTAATTCCTCAGAAGAGCTTGGCGGCTCGAGGCTCAGGAAGGGGGGAGGGGTTGGGTGGGCAGGTGCTGGGATGACAAGGGGG